AGATTTGAAAAGTGCGTCATGCAAAGCAGCATGCAAGCTCATTCTTCCTAATAAATGATTACTTTTTGTGGTGTTTATTTCATTCAACACATGTATTTCAAATATTTTATCGTTTTTCATTCGTTGCACAATAACTAAGCCAACAAATGAAAATTTCGTAGCTTACATAAAGTGACGTTACGTGGCTACAAACCGGATAAAAAATCCTAGAAGTTTTGGCATATATTTGAAGTCGAGGGGCAACTCATTCGCGAAGTGACAAACACGAGAGCTAGAAGAAGGCTCAGAATTGATCACTTTTCAACTCCATCTGTTTGTTTGAACAGTTGCTCGTCGAAGCTATTCCGGGCGTTGTACTGCGTTGTATTAAGGCTTAAGCGAGTTACATACAAGCCTTAAGCCAAAGAAAATAGTATATTCTAGTAGTAACCCCTTCATGTAAACCAAAGGAATAACGATATTTATCCTGTTGTCAAATAAATTACATAAGCTCATTTTTCCCCTCAGAAGGTCGTCCGTGAACAACAATTTCATAAATAATGATACGATAAAATTGTCTTTAGAGTGCTATTTAGGTGTCACTGGGTTCGCTATTGAACCAGTGGATCTCAAAGATTCTCCTCAACTCTGAGTATATTTGTTTAACCCGATGTTTTCGTTTATATAAACGATAGCTGCAATCGTCTCGGCATACCTGATTTGAAAGCGTAAACACGTTTTGATTGTTTTATACTCGTGTTTTTCCAATCGTGTTGTAGTTGTGTAATTCGTTGGATATTTCAATCGTGATATCCACAGAACGGTACCAGCGTCATCAAAATATTTGCACCCATGCATATAGACAGATATATAGATATATTATTGGTGGTAGTGGCACAGTGGTTTAGTCACTGTCACTGGCGTTTTCTGGACCTCGTGATCCGATGTTCGAGCCCCGCCAACGCAACCCAACGTAGATGGCATGCACCTTTGCTCCCATCTGGTTCAATGCTACGCCTAACTCAACCGTTCCTTATGTCTTTCGCCAGTCCGATTCCCGGGGCTTAGGTTACCGGTTTCTATGACTGAATATCAGGCTTTCTTGACCATAGAATCCACCTCGTCTACTGCTCACCCAATGTGTGTAAAAAATATTTAAGTATATAGCTATAATAACCAAAGACAGAAGTTAATAAAAGTGAGCTTGTTCCATTTGCGTTTCGTTCCATCAGTGCGGGGATTGAATCTTTAATGAATTACAAAACAATGAATGCTTTATTTAAATAAAAGATTTACTATTATGGTTTTTCTCGAGCAGATTCTTGTGGATTTAGAAAGTACCTCGGATACATATATGGGTTTACTTTAAAGAAATTTGCACTCACACGCAGGGGAAGTTGAAAAGGCTGTACTGAGAACCAAAGGGCATGACTTCGGCGTCGATCGCAGCTTAAAAGCTGAATTATACGATGACTAAGGTCAAATGCTGCTTCGAATTTGAAAATCAAACCGATTTCCCAAACGCGCTGTCAGTGGTGTGAAGAAGATTGACAGTAAATGATTTTGTGAAGACGTTTGTCAGTTACAATTCGAATTTCAGATTTTAACTTAGTCCAGATTTACCAACCGAGCAGCTGCCTTCGTGATGTCTAACTCGACAGTCTTGACATGAGGAGCGTTCCCTCGCTCAGACTACCCTTGTGATGTAATCTCATGGTATGGGACCAACTACATGGAAGTTGTTTGTTTACTTGTGTACCCGGTCACATTGTGGTAACCAGATGTTCCTTTTTGGAAAACACTCGACAAAGCATCTGCGTGCCAACTGTTTGACACATTGACGTGTACAGTTTTGGGCCATATCTGAGTGCATGCGTGCATGTGTGTGCGCGTGCACACAGTTCTTCACAAATAACCTCCTTCACACACTTCTTTAGGAAAAGGGATCAGTTACGGACACTTTGGGTGATATTTCGACCTTGAGTCTATTTTTGTACTTTTTACGATTATACAGAGAGATAGAGAGGGAAAACAGTCGAAAGTGGAATTGCAACTAACAAATATTTCAGTTATCCAGGAATGAAGATTGAAAACATAAAAGTCTACCAAATAGTACTCTCGTGGAGTTAGCAATAAACCAGTCTCTTATTATACTTGCGGATTGAACTAGCTACACTTGAGCATAATCCGTTTCTAAGATGTATCTGAACCGCATATCTATAGACCCAAATAATTACACACAGGATATTTTATTACTCCCACCGCCTGAACATCTAACGATTCGACACGTTTCTTCCTCAGAGATACCATGAAGTTTGACGATTGACCTCCAATGTTGTTTGATATACTTAAAACAAGAAAATCCATAAAGGGAGTTTAGAAAGCCTTGTAGTGGCCGGCCAGATCAACTAGAATGATGACAATGAACAATAAGGACAGATAAATGGAAGTTATCATCGAACCGGGCAGTTGGAAAATAAATAACAGTTACCAATCAATCAAACACTACCTTGAAAACATCAGAGAA